TGCGCGAGCAGCAGCTGGAGCAGCGCTGCCGTGAGCTCGAGGAGGAGAACACGCGCCTCACGGCGCTGGCCACGAAGCGCAAGGAGCAGTTGCGGCGTGCCACGGAGGAGGCGGCGCAGATGAGGCTGTCGAGCCGGGCGCTGGAAGATCGGCTGCGGGATGCGCATGCCGCCGCGCCACTAGACGAGGCGCGGAACAGGAAGAAGCCGCAAGAGGACACAACGCAGCTGCAACAACAACAACAAGAGCAGCACCAACCTGTAGCTGACGTCGTCTTTGTCTCGAAGGAGATTGAGCGATTGCGCCGGGAGCGACGGGCAGTTGTGGAGGGAAGTGCGGGTGCTTTAGACGAGGAGAGCGACGTGGTGCGCTGCCTGGACGCGAGAATAAGCGACCTGGTGGAGCAACTCCGCACTCGTGGCCATTCGATGCAGACGATGACAGGATGAGTGCCGTCCATTTTTAACGTACGTCACCATCACGACGAGCGTCGCTATTGGTATATAGATGCAAGTTGAACTCCTTATATATGTTCCTCTTCTCTTTGTTTCTGCTTGTGCGTCTCTGTGCGTGTTTGTTTCCTTCTGTGAGTATGTGTGTGTGTGCTCGCCCCCCTCCCCGCCACTGTTGACGTGTGTGTCTGGTTGTCGCCAACGGGGCCACATCGCACGCTTTCCTTTTTTTTTTTTTCACATTTTATGCAACTTCATGTGAGCATATATACATGGGTGTGTGTGTGTCTGATCGATAGGCCAACCGCAAGTCGCCGAATGCAGTCGACGGGCTCGCATCCCTTATTCGAGTCCGCCGTTTTTCGGCGCAGCGTGCTGGATGGCAATGAGCGGACCGCCGCGGAGGGAGACGCTGACAGGAACGATGGTGCGCAGCGGCCATTCCTCCCTATCCTGCAGGCGCCATCGAGGACAGCAGCAGAAGAGGCAGGAGGAGGGATGCAGCCGCTTGGTGCAGCAGCACGGAGGCGCGACGAGTGGCGCATGTACCCAACGGTGCCGTATTACCCGGCGGTGCCGGCGCTGCAGCTGACAATAAACGTGGCGGGGCCAGAGGAAAACGTGACTGACGATTTAAACGGCGCTGATCTGCTAAAGAAATTACCGGCACTGCAGGCACTCCTACAAGATGCTGTGGCGAAGAATGGCGATATTTTCTACTTGAGCGCTATGCAGGCGAGCCGCAACCCGCTGCTGTATCCACTGTCTGCCACAACGGCGGGGAAAGCCGCCGCGTCGCTGTCCTCCGCCGAGTTGGACTACTGGCGGTACGTGCAGGCTCTGCACGATGGGTTTCGCCGCTTTGTCGAGCTGCGTGACGCGTGCTGCCGCGCCTCCTCGGCGGAGGTGTGTACGCACCACGTCTTCTTTGTGCGCATCGCGGACCACCCACGGCTGAAGGACATCGTGGCGCTGCTCGCCATTGAGAAGGCACGCTTGTGTCTCTGCCTCTGTGCCTCCTCGAGGGTAACGCAGCAGTACTTCACGCAGCACGCGCAGGACGTGGGCGTGGAGCTGGAGTGGGTGCTGGGCTCTGCGCTTGTGTCGGAGCCGGCGGGGCTTGCGATGACGGACGTCAACCCTGTCTTTGCGTTGTGGGACGTGTTCGTTAACCTGCCGCTTCACACGGCCCCGCAGGAGACGGGCAATGCGGTGGCGCTGGCAGCGCTGTCCCCAGAAGGCGCCGGCGGTG